TGCGACCCGGGCTCGGTGGCCTGGCTTATGCCGCTCTATCTCTCCCTCTCTCTTACAGCTTGCAGCCTGGCGCCAGCGATGGCGATGCGGGAGGTGACAGTGGCTTGCTCCCAGGCTGGGGACCTGCCATGCACAGCGCCCTGGGACCCACAGCTCTCCTACACGGTGTCCTGGGCCAAGGTAAGCGCGGTCGGGGTCTGAGCGGGTTTCTTGCCGGTCAGCTGAAGCAGAGAGCCAAGGGACAGGGTCTCCTGGGGCCCCGGGTTGGGGACTCCAGCTATTCTGATACTCCACCTTCTCCCACCGGGTTGCATCTGCATCCGCATCTAGAACACAAGCCACCTCATGTTAGTTCCTGGCAGATCACTATCAAAGGCGGCTTGGCGTGAATGATCCCACAGAGGTTTGCAAGAGATTGGATCCGTGCCGCAGGGCACCTGTGGGCGCAGCCAAGAGGCTGCAGAAAAAGCAACGTGGGCCTAGATTTGGCCATGGGACATGTCCTCAGACTCTCCATTCCTTGTGCCTTGTGACCATGACACTTTCAAAATACAGATGGGGAGGAACATTTGAGAGGAAGGTCTCAGAAGGGGTCTCAAGTGATCTTGGCTTGGCCACAGGAGGTAGTTAGAAGTGGTTTTTTCTTTGCAGCTAAGGCATGTCTTTGGCTCGTCCCCCACCTTGCTTCTGCCTTCTCTGGCAGCCCCTGAGGGGTCCGACAGTGAATGAGGAGTTCCATAGGAATGTACTACAGCCGGAGGCCCAAAAAGGAGTGAATGCTTCTCTGCCCCTGTGGTGGGAAATTGAGTTGCACAAGGAACGGCACTTAAAAGGTTTCCTTTCAGCTAGATCTCAAGACTCCAAAATTGTAATTCCGGTGGTATTTTAAAGCCCAGCTGCTGTAATTTAATAGAGCTGGCCTTTGCATCCCTTCTTTCAGTGAGGTTCTGAGGCAGGGCACCTCCATTTTAAGGCAAATGAATTAAATCCCGGGGGGGGGGGGGGGGGGGGGGAGGGGGTTGCCGAGTTACCTCTGAGGAAGCCTCTGTCTTGTTCTCAGTTTCCACAAAGCACAGGTCTGCCTTCTTCCCACTGCAAAAGATGCTGCAAGAGCTTGCCGCATGAATGGGTGTTTAAACATGCAAGGCAGCAGAGGAGGGATAAATGTGTGTGTCCGTGTCCGTGTCCGTGTGTGTGTGTGTGTGTGTGTGTGTGTGTGTGTGGTTTAACCACTTTAGCTGATTGTCTTGGCTAGAGGGTGGTAGCTCAGTGGTACGGTGCTTGCTTAACATGCAAAAGGTATTGGGTTCGAAACCCCAAGCATTAAAGCAAAACCAAAACCAGTTAGCCAAATGGATTGTCAGGTCTCCAAGGACAAGGACTGCATCAGTGTTTCCTGCATTCTGCTCAGCACCCAGTGTCTACCCTGTAACCGAATCTAAGCTGGCACCACGAGGGAGGGGGCACGATGGGGACCTCAGGACATTGCTGTGTACAACATTACAGGACCCTGTGTGGGGGCGTATTGGGTGAGGTGGGGTGGGTGAGCAAGTCGGGGTTCCTATTGCTTCTTTGTCTCTTCTTTCTTCTCTGTGAGCTCAGAGAAAAAAGGGTCCAAAACTGTTTGAGCAGTCAAAACAATAGCGCTTTAAAAAAAATACTGTAAAAACAGAATTTGAGGGCTCACCATATGCCAGACTGTGGGAATAAATATTTACATATGTTATCTACCTCTATCTATTGCAACAGTGTGGGCTTAAGAGACCAGAACTATGCCTGTTCCTACTTCCCGATGAAGAGACAGAGCCTGGGGGCGCAAAATAAGTGGGCTTTGACCCAAGCTGTCAGATCCCACATCTTGGGTTGTTAGACTGTCTTGATACCTGACTTTCTACTTTAATTACTTTGGGTAAAGAAAAGCAAAGTGTCCCGGAGCCAGCCAGACAGTGGACTTAGCCATCTCAAGGAGGAAGCAAACATGAAGCCACGATCCCTCCCAGACTGTAATTAAAAAAAAGAAAGCGTCATTAATATCCCTGGGGGAGTAATTAAAAAGTGCTCATGAAACAAGTAGATGAAATTTCAGACTGTGAAGTTCAAACAGTTGTCAAGTTAAATCTTCTCGCCCAGGGTCATTTGGAATGGTTCAGTAAATCATAGTAATTAGCCTTTGACCTCTCCTTAGATGTCGGCAGATGATGTAACTCTGTAATGTATGTGCTTGTTTATTGGACATAGTTCTTGCAAGGTCTGGCCTGAAGGTCTCTTAAAAATTCTTTCTGGAAAAAAAATGTGTGTGTGTGTGTGTGTGTGTGTGTGTGTATGTGTGTTTGTGTGTGTTACAGTGCTTACTTAATATGAATGAAGCTCTGATGATAAAAGGAAAAGGTATCTGTCTGTTCTCACCTGGTCTGGGCTTGGTGGCTAGAGGAGAGGTACAATGCCGACCCACTAAGTACCTTGAAATCGGCATGTATTATTTCTTCCAGGACTTTTGGACAAGTCCCATTATATTTGTCACTTTCCAGCCTCAGAATTAATAGATTTGCATTGTTGTTGCTTGTATGACAAAAATGGATAGAGAGTTCTAGGAAGAAGGCCACTGCTGAGATACTGAAAGGCATTTTATGGATGAAGCATGTTATGTGTGGGATCAGTGTATGGAGAGAAGAGCCCCCTTGAAGTGAAGTTTCACTGTCTGCCATACTGAATCACACTCTTGCTGGCCTTCTGCCTATCACAACAGTGGTTACAATGACACATGGCTTAAAATTCCATTTGCCAAGTTATTCCTTGGGTCCCATAGAACATCCTGCTGCTAGCCACTTGGTACTGATGCCTTGTGCTTAAGAAAGGACTCCTGCAAGCCAGACCTTAAAAATATCATTTGCCTTTTACCAAAAACTGCAAGCAGATGGAATTCAATCAGTGACTATATAAACACTGATGGATTGGGCTGGGTCAGACTTTGTTCTTTGTCCCTAAGATGTGGTGATGGGGAGTCTGGAGGGATTCAACAGAGACAAGCACAGAAGATCAAAGGCCAAATGCAGACAGTACCAGCCCAGTGTCCTCTAGCGCAGCTCAACCTTCTGTGGCCCAGTGCCCTCAGAACTGGAACCCCTGAAGATGCCTTCTTTCCCTACCTTTTAAAGTAGAAGGAAAGATGGAGAAGAAATAGGAAATTAAAAAGTTATATCCATTGAGACTGTAACTCAAGTTAGTTTTTTAAAGTTCTGATAGATTGCAGCTTGGGTAGGAGGAGGTAGTTTGAGAACACAGGGAAATACGCTTTGATCCCGTTCTTTTGCTGTTGACCATGGCGTTTGTTTGCATTGTGGTTTCAGAGGATAGAGCTGAATATAAGGCTGTCTGTATGAGGGGCTGTGTCCGTACTTCAGGGAGTGTCTCTGTGTCTGCGCTTGCTTCCACGAAGCTGCAGTAGGTTTGAAGAGGGAACACGGCTCCAGATAGACAGCTTTGGCCATGGTTGGTGTCCTTCTCTGCTAACAAAGAGGAGTTTACTCTGCAGGTACAGCGCCATCCTGGATCGTGCTAGGAGCCCTGACAACCTGCAGTGAGGCAAAGTGAAAGGAGATATCTGATGTGGCCTCTGGGTGATACTGCGGGGGTGGGGACAGCCATGCTTCACAAGACATGCTCTATTTAGATGATTGTCAAAGGAAGGGAGAAAGGGGAAGTAAGACAGTGATTTCAGAGAATGGGCCACACTTGACTTTAGGGGTTAGAAAAGCCTTGACTAGGGTAGATCGTGGGTGGTCTGGCCCAGTGCTGTGTTCTGTTTCTGACACTCGTGCTGGGGTTACTTCTGGAAAATAGGTCATGTGACAGTGCAAGGCTAGGCCTCACCTGTGTGTTGGCTTGACTGTGTATAGGCTGCAGTCTCCCCTGGATGTTGGCTACTCTTAGTATTTCCTCTCTACCAGTGTGTGATGCTGAGCTCCAAGGGCAAGGCCTCTGGAAAGAGCAGAGGGGTCAGAGTTGAAGCCATCTCTGGGGGCCTACCCATGAGTTAATAGGTACCGCTTGTTGAATTCCCCTGATTCTCAGAGGCAATCTAAGAACATGTTTTCTCGAGAAAAGGAAACATTGCCATATTAAATTTGCAAGAACTGAAAATCTGAAATGTGAGAACTGTATGTACACTAGACTCAAAGAAAAATACTACTGTCTCTATAGGCATGTGCCCTTCTTGCCTTGGAAAAATCAGTTTTAGCTCAAACTGTGAAAGACATAAAGTTGGTTTTTTCGTGTCCTTCATATTTGCACCATTATTGTAATACAAGTATGTGCCAAGCCCTGGGCCTGGTGATAGCTATCCCAAAATCAACATGGAGAAGATGGCTCAGCCAGCAAAGTGCCTACTTTCGAGCCCCAGCACCCACGTGAAAAAACAGCTTTGATGGCCAGGGTCTGTAACACCAGTGCAGATGGCCAGAGATAGGGGGATCCCCGAAGCTTATTAGCCAGGGAACCTAGTCAAATCCGTGAGTTGTTTGAGAGACCCTGTCTTGACAGACAAGGTGGAGCGTGATAGAGGAAGATGTCTGATGCCCATGCACGTGAACACACATGTATACACACCCATACCCACACGCAGAGACAAAGCAAACATTTTCGGAGTAGCATCCTAAGCAAGGGCATTGAAGTGTACCACATAGCATCTTTAGTCCAAGTGAGGCATCTAGTGATCCAGAAAGGAAAATGATACAGCGGGTAAACCCAGAGATGACGCTGGGTTTGGATGATGGGAATGGAGGCAGAATGTGAAGGGCTCTAATGTCAAATGATAATGGATCCATGGCATGCTATCTCAGCAGTGCTGAGCCACTGAAGGAGTTTCAGCACGGGGAATAATGCCATATAAATCTAAGGAAGAGCACATTTCTCACGGTGATGGAAAGAACGGAATTCATCCGTGAAGACAGATCTTTGGGAGCCTGTGATCTTTTACTGCACTGAAGTTCCCATCAGGTTAGCCTATTGGAGGCTAGAGCACATCTTTGTTTGTTTGGATTTTCTCCACCATCACTTCTGTGTGGTCAAGGAAGGATGAGGCTACCTCAGATAGGATGGAGGAAGTCTCAGTCAGACTAGAATGGTGGCTCATTGAGGTCTTGGACATGGCTGAACATGACTGAACATGGCATTGTTCATGT